TAATTGTTCTTATTCAAACTATATTTGCGTTTCGATTGTTTTTTCATGAAAATGTGTTGTTCTCATAACAGATAAATATGAGATTCGATTTTATAATATAAGATAAGAGGTAAAATAGTGACAAATTTTTATAATGGCAATAAATACACAATCAAAACTTTATATAAATATTTCAATTGAATATGAAAAGAGTTGATGTCTTCTCAATGCAAATTATTGCAAAGTACTTTCTTGTTTTCTCGGATTATTTTTCTATCATCCAAGTTTGCAAGAAATACGAGTTTTTACTTGATCGTTTTCGTATCAACCCCATCCGAATAAGCCCAGAGTCCAAACCGTTATTTACACACATTCAAACTCAAATTGTATATACTCCATATGACATCATCGTCCCAGTTGATCGTCATATCTTTCTTTATTTTGTTACTTATAAAGAGTACAAAGAGAAAAACACACAATTTGAAGTGTACAAAAACGTCCGCTTTACAACAGAAGATATTGAAAAATATGGATCAAAAATACCAGAAGAAATCTCACAACTTGGTGATTATCTTTACTTCCAAAATATGGACTTAAAGAGTGTCCAAATACCATCAAAAGTCACTAAAATTGGGGAGTGGACTTTTAATGAATGTGGTCTGACGAAAATCGAAATTCCATCTACTGTCAAAGTGATTCAATATAATTCATTTGGATCGTGTGGTGCATTAAAAGTAGTCAAACTACCAGAAAATATCACGGTAATACCAAAATCGTGTTTTGAAAATTGCACCGAACTTGAAAATATCAACTTTCCTGAAAGTCTTCAATTTATTGATGATTGTGCTTTTTTACAAGCAAAACTAGTCAATGTCGTTATACCCAATAAGTGTGAAATTGGTTACAGTTGTTTTGCAATGAACTCAAATTTGACTCGAATTGTGTTAAATGGAGTTTCATGTATTCCGGACTTTCTCTGTGACTCTTGTTCCAGTCTCAAAAGAGTTGAAGTTTCTAAAAAGTTGATTGAAATTGGTGAATTTGCATTTGCGCGATGTGAAAGTCTTGAGAACTTCGATTTCAATGAAGATTTAAAATATATCGGAAACTTTGCTTTTAAATATTGTAAACAACTCAAAATCGCACATTTGAAAAAGAAAGTGTGTTATGTTGGTACGTTTGCATTTATGGGATGTGAAAAATTGGAAGAAATTGTTATTGAAAACAAAAATGTTTTTGTTGGTATTGGTGTGATAGAAAAATGTGATAGGCTTACTAAAATATCAATTCCGTTTGACACAAATAAGATTGAATTTGAAATAACAGAAAATGAGTTAACAATATTAAATAAATTGGACTTAAAAAGTGTTACACAAAGTGTCGATAAAATGTTTTACAGTGAAATTACTGTAGAAAATGATAATATGGACTTTTCAGCCATTTCAAAAATCGGGTTGTACGAAAACCAATCAATTACCAACGTTGATTTAAACACTTCATTGGAGCAAGTTGGTATTAATCAAATTGTATTAAATTCACTTACATCATTGTTTATTCCATCGACCGTTGCACTTGTTAATGATTATTGCATTGGGCGTTGTAATTCTTTGAAGAATTTTGTTGTTCCAAAATATGCAACTTCAATATGTAAAAATGCAGTTTGCCAAGATTTAATAACACGGATATTGTTTCCTAAGAACACAACACAATTTGATTGCAAATTCGAGTGTTGGCAATTTACTGAATTTGAGATACTAAATGGTGTCAAAGAAGTTGAGGAAAACACTTTTTGTGAATGCGACAACTTGGAGAAAATAGTGATACCTTCGACAGTGACAAAAATCAATGAAAACTTTGTGGTCAAATGCACTAAACTCTCTGAAATTGAAATACTGAAAAACGACAATAATTCAAACTTGTTGGACGTAGAAAAGGTGATTCTGAAAAATCAAAAACTGCCGAACGACTTGTTAGAAATCCCTGAGTATATAGACACGTTGTATGCTTGTATGAATTTTGCAGAAAATGTGACTCAAATTAATGTGCCAAGTACCATCACTAAAATTGAAAACAGTGCTTTTTCTGAAGTTAACAATTTGTGTGTGTTAACACTTCCAGACACTTTAAAAGAGATTGGAAAACACATCTTTTCTCACAACATTAAATTAACAAAAATTGATATCGGCAACAACACACAAAATGAATTTGATAAGTTCGTTGTGAGTTATTGTTGCCACTTGAGACTTCTCAATTATGGGTATCATTTCAATAATATTGAATTGATTATTTCAGACGTTGAAAATGTTGGCAATACTTTCGATGTAACTAAAGTGCGAAAGTTTGCAACGACATCGGTATTAAATACTCAACTGTTTGATAATGTCCCACCACTAGTAACTGAATACTGTGATTTGTTGTTGAATACAAAACACTTGATTATTCCAAGTGAAGTCACTGAAATGATTGAATACAGTTGTGTAAATATGCCAATCCACACAGTCAAATTTTTAAATGTTCCTGTGATAGCAAAAGGCGCGTTTTCTCAATGTCATTATTTAACACAAATTGTTTTTAATGAAACATTGAAACGTATTAAGAAATACGCGTTTGAGTCATGTTTATCACTGAAAGACATAGTTCTTCCAAAAAGTCTTCAAAATGTTGGGAGTTTTGTGTTTGAGGGATGTTATTTACTCACAAAAGTGTCATGTGAAAATGAAAATGTTATTTATGGAACAAAGTGTTTAGCTTTCTGTGTTTCACTGAAAAAAGTTCCAGTTATAACGAATATGGGCGTTGCGATGTTCTTTGAGTGCAAATCACTTTCTCAAATTTCGCTGAGTGAAAATTGTAAAGAAATTTCCGACTTTGCGTTCTTTAGATGTTTGTCACTCACAAAAATTGATATCCCAAAAAGCGTCACAAAAATTGGAGTTTTTAGTTTTAGAAAGTGTGTCGCACTGAGAGAAATTGAAATCCCAAAGAGTGTTGAAATAATTGAGGATGGCGCGTTTTATGACTGCAAAAACATTAAAAAGGTTGTTATAGATAATTCGAATGTTATGTGTGGAGTTGATGTGTTTGAGGGTTGTGAGGAAATCACAACACTGCAAATTGGCAACGAAAAAGAAAAGTACCAATTTGAAGTGAGTTACTCGTTTTATTTACAAATGAAGAATATACACATTTATTGTGAGAATGTAGTAGTGAAGAGAAGTGATGTTCTTAAATATGGCACTGCAAAAATGATAAATGAAATTCAAATGAACAAGTTAATTCACAGACTTGACGAAGGCTGCTTTTTCATGAATTCTGAGTTAACTAAAATTGAAGTTTTAAACAATGTGACTGAAATTGGAAATTTCGCATTTTACAACTGTCTGAATTTGAAAGAAGTCATTTTGCCAACGACTATTGTGGGAATTCCACATTACTGTTTTGATGGATGTTCAAACTTGAGTTTTATAGAATTGAAAGGAAACATTGAAAAATATGGAATTTGTTGCTTAAATCAGTGTCTTAATCTAAAAGGCAAAGTTGATATACCAGAGGAGTACTTCGAATCTCAACAAGACGAAAGTGATGAAATTGATTAAACATATTAAATGCACAAATAAAATAATTAAATAAAATATCAAAGTGATTTTAGTTAAAATAAAAGAATTTAAAAATATAAATTTAAAAATGAAATTTAAATATTAAATAAATATGAATTTCTAATTAATTAAACTAATAAAAAAATAAAGTACTATAATAAAATTAAATAAAATAATAATAATTTATTATTAATACTTTAATAATTATTTCTTGTTTTATTATTGAAACAATTTTTTCGATGAATATTAATTTGAAATTTAATGATATATTTCATAGTTTTAATTTTATAAAAATCATTCGATTTGTATAAAGTAATTGATTTTTTTATTGTTTTAATTATTAACCCAAATAATTACTCGATACTCAAGCATTATTTAATAATAAACATAAAGAACTTTTTGGAAATAAAATAATTTCATTTGCAATGAGGCAAAACATTTTAAAAAAATTATTCACATACAGTGGGAGGAAATATGGGGATGCTAGAGAAAGGAAGATGCTCGTAACTATTGGTTAATTTCAATTGAAAAATAATAAAATTACTATTAATTTTAATATAAATTATTAATCAAAAAATTAATAAAATGAAAAATCCAAAATAAATTTATATTAATTATTTATTATTAATAATATTAAATTAATTAATATTTAGATTAGCATCCCCCTATTTCTCAGCATCCCACTTTTTCCGTTAACTGTAAAGGTAATGTTGATAATACTTATTTTAGTCCAAATAAACAACAAAATTTTAGAATCATTTAGTCAACATATATATGTTTTTGAGGGAGAAACAAAATTATAGTACTTAAAACCTTTTGTGTTTTAAATCATTTACCACAAAACAATGAAATGTTTAATGATGTGACAATATTTAAGGAACTGTTATTTGTTTAATTACAACTCATTCAATGGAAGATGTTTATATGATTAGTTTGTTGGAAGCACACATTGTAAATAATGAATTAACACATACACATCATACAATCAACACATTAACAATTACTGGAAGTGAGAAAAAAAAATTTACTAAACCAAAGAAAGTTGTCAAACAACAGAAAATCAAAACTATCAGAAAAGCAACATTATTGAAAAATAAAAATAGGATTTGTTCAGATTTCAACAAACTCACACAACTCAATTTAAAAACAATAAACAAAATCAGTTATTACCAGAGAATGTGTCGTGTTTCGTCGTGGATCAAAAACGCAAAAGATGATTGTAAATATCCTCACCCTTCTTTATATAATAATTAATTTTTATTGAGTCGAATATTAATAAACATGAGGAAATAAAATATAAATACTTTACATCATTTTAATAATAAATATTGTTTGGCTTAATGTTTTGGGCTATTATTTTACAATGTTAATACAAATTATTATTTGATACTATTATCTTCTTTTAGACTCAATTTTTGATGTCCGTTTTATAAAATTAATTGTTTGGACAAGTCTTGTTCATTTTTAAGGTGTTAACTATGTGATTGTACACATGTTATTTTACATGACACCACATTTAAATTTGTCAAGTACATCAAACTGTTTACCAAATTCTTCTATTGACTTTTTGAATTGAATCGAATTATTTGTTTATACTTGCTTTTAACTCAACAATGTATACATTTATAAATTGTTAAGACACAAGCAGAACATGTCGAACTGATAATAATTATACAACTAAAATATTTAGAAAACTTATTTTTATACTGAAGTTAAATGGTTTAACATAATTATTTTATGATAATTTAATAATAATACAAATTATTATAATAAAACCATATTATTACTATAAATCATAAACCTAAAATAAAATTTATTGTTTAAGTTTAGTTTAGTATAATTAATTAGTATATTATTTAACAACTATAATAAATCAGATTAAATAACTAAAATATGAATTATTTATAGTAATGTATTATTAAAAATACTATACTAAAATAACACATAAACCAAGTTAAAACTGAAAACATGAATTATTTTTTATTTTTTCTTCTTTCCTGAAGATTTTTTAGATGCTTTTTTGCTTGGAGCTTTTGGCTTTCCTGCCTTCTTTGTGCTTTTCTTCGATCCGCTCTTTTTAGTCCCAACTTTCTTTGAACCGGCCTTTTTACCGGCCTTTTTAGTTCCCTTCTTACTTCCCTTTTTACTTCCTGATTTACTTCCTTTCTTTCCACCGCTTTTTCCTTTCTTTCCCACCATTTTCTTTGCTACTTTCATTCCCTTCTTCATACCTTTTGTAGCTTTTTTGGCAATTTTCTTTCCTTTTTTCATTTGATTCTTAACGTCCTTTCCAACACTCTTACCAAATTCCTTCCCCATTTTCTTAGCAGTCTTCTTCATATTCTTTGCTGAAAGGTCGAGTTTCCCACCTTTCATCAACTTCTTGGCTGTTTTGCCAAGTTGTTTGCCAACAATGTCTTTAGCTTTGCCAATGGCGTAGTCTTTAGCAGCACCAAGTGCCTTTTTACCCAAATCTTTGGCTACTTGCTTGGCACCACCTGCTTGGTATGACTTCGACACATCAGTCGCAGCTTGACTCACTTTAGCACCAACATCTGCAACTTTCTCAACTACATTCGCCGCTTTTTCCACTGTTTTTGCGCCAGCTGCAATGGGTGCAGCAACAGCGTTGAGGCCTGGAACAACAGAAGCGACTGTGGCTACTTTACTGACAACTCCAGCGACTTTTCCAACCTTTTTGTGAACATGTTATTCTTGTTTTATTACCTTTTGAACCATAATAGAACACTTAAAATGGCATTCCCTATTAATATAACAGACTATAACATGCAATTAAAATACCATTATTTATAGTTTAAAAACTGTTATTATAAATAAAGGTAAGGTATATTTTATAAATAACAGTGAATTATACAAAATTATATGAGAAGAGCTTATTGAACGATGATAAGTGTTGTTACAATAAATAGAAAAACAAACAGTGCCTGCGACGTCAGAGACTTTGTTGAGGACATTGGTCACCTTTTCACCATTTTCAGCCATCCATTTGGTTCCTTTGTCAACAGCGTTTTTAATTCCACTCAATATTTTACCATCCTCAAGTAAATAAGCGGCATCTTCCGAGTCAAAGTACTCGAAGAAGTCGTCAATTTCAGCGTCTGAAGTCAAGTCCATCATGTCCAATTTATCATTAAAATCAACTTCGTCAACAAAACTGGAACTGACAAGTGTGCACAAGAGTACAAAGCATAGTGCATTAAACATGCGATATAGTATGGTTAATTAGTACTCAATCTCTTTTCAACAACTACGAAACTAACACCTCTTTTCTCTAATTCTTTTTATACATTTTGTCGGTTTGGATGGTACAAGTATAACCCGGTGTCTTAATTCAATTTTGAAAGCTTTTTAATGTCTTGACTGTCAATTCTCAAATTATCTTTGAAACATGTTTTCCACATTATTCTTTTTTTCATGTGGAAACTTCGTCCAAGCAAAATATTATTAATGTATTGATGTGTAACACAAAGTTGATTGTGTCACTATCTTGCATAAATTTACGACTATAATGTTTGATTTGAATTGTTTGGTTTTTGTTGAGATGTTCGGATAATTGCAACACCCTTCATTTTTTTTCGACAACATTATTTTGGTTTGATAAGAAGATTCGCTTTCTGGGAAAATACCGAAACCCATTTGAAAATTCCCTTTTCCCCAGACGCAGGTCTCTCGTCTTTAATTTGCATTTCGTTTATCAGCAAAAAAATGTGGGAACTTTTTCGAATAACAGAAGTTACCCAAAACCCAACACTAAACAACAAAACGCCACTTTTTACTCGAGATAATGAAGAGTTTCTTCTATTATTTACCATTTGATAGTCACAATTAGATGATTCATTTTCGTATTAAGTATTGGGACAGGAATAAATGTTACTCTTATTTTATATAATAACCCGAAATAACAGATGATTGTATCGTTGATTTACGAATTTTTATTCGGCTTCCTAAAAATGCATTTTTACGAAAAAAAGATAAACAAAAAACAACTAAAAAAATGGGAAATAATTGAATATTGGTATTTTTGGATTCTTGTCTTTTTTCGTATGAAACTTTTTGCCAACTGATTGCTCTGGAAGATCGACAATAACATTACATTCAGTATATGCTGTTTATTTACTAATCATTTGTCGCATTAGTGCTGTATAATAACGGGCACCCACAAATGTTAACTGCCTTTGATAATTCAGTCTATTTTGTCAAAATAAAACAGCAAAAATAAATAAGGATGGTTCGTTGCTGGATATTATTTTCGTAGTTTTACGTGTTTGTGATTTTGCCGAAATTTTCCTTGATATCATGTTGTTAATCAAAATATGGAGTGTTCTACGTGATCTTAAAAAGAAGATGTGAATAAAAATGTACCTAGATAATAAAAAAATTACATTAATTTGATTAAATTTTTAAAATTGTTTTTTCGTTGTTGTTGAAATTATATCACTAATTTGAACACAATTATAAATTAAAAATTGTTAAAAAAATAATTTGGATTTTTTACAATTGATGTATTCATGATTGTTCCTTTGAACAAAATGAATTCAAAGTTTGTTAGCAAAACATTTTCAACATCAATACGATGTTTTTACAAGTGTTTATAAAAATACAATGTTTTTCTTTCGTTATTACAACAAATAATAACATTGTTAACTACTCAAAAGATTGTAAATTCCAAATCATAATTTAATAAAATGTTGGTTGTAAACATTAATAATGAGTTTTCAAACAGTTCTAATGAACAATTTATTATTTCAAAGATGGTTTAATTATCATTGTCATTAATTGATATATAACAAAGATGCATGTCGATTACATTTATGTTTATGTATTAATTTGTTTTTGTTATAAAATATATTCGTTTGTATATAATAACTTTATTTTGTTAATAAATAATAAATACAAAAATATGACAAATATATTAAAATTTATACCTATCTTTTACATAATTCAAAATATTTAAATAATATATGACATAAAGTTTATTTGTTATATGCAATTTTGTGTCGTTATATAATTCACATTATATTGTTTATTGGCATAGCTTCCTGTCTTTTTATGAATCAAAGTATTAACAGTTAAACAATTTTTTTGAATATATACTAATAAGAAATCAAAAGCTCGATTCCGTTTTAAAAGGTACTAAACCGTATAACGAAACAATGTTCAATAATTACAACATAAATTGAATTTTTATTTTCAAGTTTGTATTTAAAATATGATTGTTTATAATATTTATTAAAGAGATTGGTGTTTAATATGGTTTGATTGGGAATTATACATTATTTCATAACCACTATCAATAAATTTAAAATGACACTTCTACCAACTACCAACGTTTTCTAATTTCAAAGATTTATTAAATAATAAACAATAAAAACGGTTGATCCAAAATATTTTTATATTACAGTCGATACTCTATCGGATTGGAATGATGGGAAAATGGTTTTTCCCAAGGATTGGAAATTAAAAAAAAATTTTATTTTTAATTTCTATATTTTTTGGCATTATTTATTTCTTTTGACAAAAACATAATTTAAAAACGTAAAATGAATATTTTAACAGAACAATAATAAGAGACACGTGTAAACACATTAATTTATTTGTCATTATTTATATTTTAATTTGTATGTTAAAAACACATAAACAACATGATGGATTTATTATTGTAGTATCTATTACAATACTTAATATCTTAAAACAAAAAAAAAGATTCTCGATATTAAGCAGATAAAAAACAGATACAGTCTGTCTTTAAACGTTATCTGGTACCTTTTGAAACATAAAGATTGGCATATTTTGGGAAGCCGTCTTTAAAATCCATCTTAATCGTTTTGGTTTTTTTTCACTTTTTACTTAATGCTTAATGTTTTGACAAAATTAAAGCTATTTTATGTCCACCAGATGACGTTAAAAGACTGACTATATTAGAAATTGCGAATAGATATAATTGTGGTTTAAATGCTTATTTTGTAATATGTAATAATTGCAATTATTATAAAAAAACTTGTGTTCAACTTATTAGTGAACACTAAGTTGTTCACCAAGTTTTATATTATTATTATAAATCTGTTCTTTGCTATCATTATATTTTATTGTTATAATTTTGGTTTTAAGATTTTGACAAATCAAATGCATTTATCACCAAAAAATTACTTGTTTATATAGATTGCCAAATTCTTAATTTCAATACTATTAAATTAGATTTTTTTTATTCACAAAACCAAAAAAGTAAAAAAGAAAATAAGATTGTATTACACTATTAAGTACTAATTATACGGGTTTTATATTTATAAAATCGGATTGGAACAAGTTTTGATTGGATATAAAACCAAATCCGATAGAACACCAATCAGATAGAAGTCCAATCAGATAGAGTATCGACTGTATTTTTTAAAACAAGTTTTATCCATATTTTTAAAAAGATATTTTATTATAATATTATAAAAGGGACCTACATTGACCACCACCACCTCTTAAAATAGATTTATTTTTTCTATTTCGAATCATATTCAAATTAAAATTATAGTAAATAGGAAACTGGGATAATATTAGGTCTGGTTCCCGAATTCAAGAAATGCCGAAAAATCACCTCGAGTTAGTGGAAACCGAGTGAGACGGAGCATTGAAAAGAAGGCTCATAAAGACGCACTCAAACAGTCTGTTTGTGCACCGTTTCACCCACTTTCCAAGTCCTCCCTTGGCGCGGATCCCCCCTGACCCCCCCGCAAGCGGGGGGGGGGGGGGGAACCACATCCGCGTCCACACAGTACGGACAAGGAAAGTGGGTGACATGGGGACGCACAAACAGTGGCTGAAAAATGGACTTCCTTCAAAAAACACTCGCGGCAAATATTTTTTTTGGTAAAGGTGGTGGTCAATGTAGGTCCCATTATAAAAACATGAATTAATTGTATAAAATCTCTATATAAACTTAAATAATTAATTTGAAAAGTAATTGCCAATGTTATTGATGTATTGAAGTTATTTGATTTCGATTATGAAATATATGAAAAAATACCATTTTAAAAATTGAAGCTGTTCTTACTACAGTCAAACCTCTCAATTTTGACATTTTTAGAAATTGAAAACCTTTTGATTTTGACATTTCAAGATAACAGAACAACAAGAAAAAACGCAAAAAAGATTTTTAAAAACTTTAAACTTGATAAACAAACACATGAAAAGAATTAAAGATCACAAACCAGTTAAAAGAAAACTCACTTCTTTAACTGTAGATGAAAAAGCTGATATTATTAAAAAGAAACTAGTTTTGACTGATGAACGTGTTGCAGAATGGGCATACAGTACATACAGCTTATCCAAAAAACCTTCTCGGAGTTGGATCACCGGGCTTTCAATTGACAAACCACTTGTTGACAAAAGATTGCCAAGTAAAGTTAAATACCCACTTTTTGAACAAAATCTGATGCTTGCCATAAACATGCTATTGGAAAATAACACACCGATACATGACGATGTTATTATATACTTGGCCAACAGAACAAAGCTTAATATGAGTCAAGACAGTTATTTGATCAATCTTACTTTATCAAACGGGTGGTTAGATTCTTTCAAAAAACGACACTCTCTCAGTATACACAAGCAGTATGGAGAAGCTCCTGTTGTTGACTTATCAATATGTCGTGATTACATCGAAACAATTCGAGTTATTGTAAAACACTTCCTTGATACTTATGGCCAAGAATCAATCTTCAATGGAGATGAAACTGGTCTTAACATACACTTTCTCGAACCATCATCGTTGAACATCAAAGAAGAAAAGGAAATTGGAATCGAGTGTGATAAAATACGGTTTACTGTATTTCTTGTTACAGATGTTACTGGTAAAAACCGAAGAAACCCAGTGGTAATTGGCAAGTCAGTAAAACCAAGAAGAATGACAAAGAAGATAGAACAGAAAAACCACATCATTTATTT